ATATATATGTATATATAATGAAATTCAAAAATTAATTTTTTTCAGTTTAATAAAATTTAAAGGTAAATAAATCTAGACATATATAATTTTAAGATGAAATGATAATCTCTTATATCTAATAAATTTCCGAAGAATTAAAATTCTCAGAATTCTATTATACCGTTCAGGATTTACTAATTAACGATATCTCTGCTAAGAAAGACCTACCGAATACAAAGTGTATCCCCCTTTGCTTTACTTTGATCCTAACAAAAAAGAGATTACATCAATCGACAACTAATCGAGGTCCTGCGCATCCTGCAATCTCGCTTCTCTATATTCTCCGTACAATCGAGAAGTGAGATGGAGAAGATAGAAAGGTGCGGAATCGCGGTGCAAGTGCCCGATACGATAATATGTCATAATGTCATGTCATAATTATGCTGTAATGTATCATGCTAAGGTTATTAAATCGTTTAATTGCGCATGCTTCTCTACATACTCTGAGTATTGTAATTAAATACCTATATATAAATACCTATATATCCATTAAGGATTCGTCCTGTAATGATTTTTAACAAACCGAGCATGGTCGTAATAAATTATTTTCATATGCAAGATATAGTATCTTTTTATTCATCAATAATAATTTTAATTTATAATAACAGCCTAGCTATTCACTATTCGTTATGATAAATATTGAATTTACAGCATCATATTTCAGAAAAAGCAGCTTACTTACTTGTAAGAAACAGAGAATGAAGATTATGCTACGAGTTAAGATAAATTACAGATCACCATATGCTCGATAAATTGTTTGGTGATTTTTCAGGATTACATGTGAAGACCAAGTCGAAGTAGTTGGCGAAGTCGCCTAGTGGCTCACATTGATTTGTTTATATGAACGCTTTATGACCTGGTCACGTTATATCATAACCGTTGAGGATTGCTTAGTACATCGTCAAAATCACGCGGGGAGGAGAAAGAATGGTATCAGGTATCTCCCAGATCCCGTTTTGAATTTGATTTAGAGACTTTGTCTTTCTCAATTCCAGCCGGTAAAGACTTATTAGAAAAAATCTTGACATTGCGCAATGTCTACTTTCGCATTTTGACGATAACCATTTTTGGTTAGCTGCACTGCTTTTGCTCGATCACATGAGGATCCCAACAATTCATTATGAACCCAGTGTGAAACGACGTACGCGTCGAAATAACATAACTCGGAAAATAAGCCTGAACCGCTTTCTCGAGAGTATGCTGTCATGACATGATCACTTGTCTGTAAAAAAAATCGAATAAATGCATTAATCATTTTTAGATTATATAAATTCCATAAAGATTGAAGATTTATGTATCTAATTATTGCTGGATTGTGTGTCGATAAACAATAATTTTCTTAGAAATTTCTCAAAATAAAATTATGTCTACCTTCCTCAAATATATCATATTATGTATTTTATTATTAGACACAGTAATAATCTTACATTACTTGTACCTCGACTTTTTTTCCGCCTCGATTGATCGCAGATTTATTTAGCAGCTGTCAAGCCTCGACGATCGTCATTAAGTGTCTATCTCGCGAAAAGACGTTGATTCTAACAACCATTAATTAAAATATATAGATTCTCGCATCGCGCGTTCGGTGATATTCGCGTCGAAAAAAATAGCCGTTTAGCGTGGTTTACAGCAATTATATTGCCGCAGCGTGAATTGAACTCGTCGCATGCCCGAGCACGAGAGCGAAATTTTAGGCGGACCGACCAGCCATGGAAATGCCATCCGGATTAATGTTAATGGTAATCGTAATACTCGTAATATCATGTTAAAGGTGAGTCAGTGAAAGCAAATCATCGGTCTCCTGTCCATTGCACAACGCGCAAGCGAGCGAGCGTGTCTCTCGGGACTCCTCGGTTCATCCGCAAGATGGAAATGAGGGGGTATCGAATTTAGTGATTCTTCGAAACTTTCTATAGCCACGGCAG